TTAAACAAATGGAAGAAATGCATGCTTTTATTAGTAGTCTTTGCTAATGCATTACAAAATATAGCCCTTACTGTTAAACATAGCTGTCCTACACTATTTATACTATAGACTCAGCAAACATCCACCTAGCAACCATCCAGAATAACTTGGAAACCAAGTCAAACATCCATATTGCTCAAGACTATGTACAACAATAGTGCCTTAACTCTATAAAGCCTATTGTATCATATTTGATATGCAAATGTCTAGGGCATTTATCAACATAATTAAAATTTTGCTGAAAAACCTGTTGTTCACAATCTACTACATGCATTCTGTTGTCTGATTGAAAGTTTATACTTTTTTAGCCAGTAAAAGGCCTCTTAATGTAATTGCATTGTAGTGCATTGCATTATATGTTTAGAAACTACAGAGCTTTGATCATAAAGCTAAGCTTTTAAATATTATCTCACTAAGACATTTTATTGGGAGATATGGAGTGAAAAGTGATATTTATATGCATTTTATGTCAGTCTGTTATACTGTTATAAAGATCTCATTGATTTACATTACAAGCTGAATTTCATCTTACTTTTTGGCCATATCAGCAACTGCACCAAATTACATATTTTTGCTCAATTTGGGACTCAGAATAAAATTTAGGTGTTTTTTTCCTCCATATTCTCACTATATCACGCTCTATGAGGCATAAAAGCTTGATGTATCAAATATGATATTCAACAAAAACCTTGCTTAGATTTTTTTAACGAGTTTGTCTAAAGGTTCAAAAAACTGTTCTGTTTCAATTCCATTCGATTTTTTCTGACTATTATTCACATGTCAGGCTTTACAGGGTTAAGATACAGCCCTGAAAAAAATCACATTTCAAAATATTGTACATGCACACATTGTTTTAAATGAAACTCCCACATATTTTGCACATGGCAAAGGCGTTGTATCCGATTGTTGGAGAAATGCACATTCTATCACGTCTGTTTGTAATTTAGCCTTATTTTTATGAGATTTGACAATATATGACCTCTCGTTTCCAGAGCTCAGACACCCCTCTACCAGCCTATCCTCTTTCACTCGTTCTTCTGAGAGCCGATAGCATGAAAAAACACTCTCAGCATGGCACATTCTTTCAGTTTTCAACACGGACCCTTTCATAATATCTTCTTTTCAGTTCCTCGCATGGACGGCAAATGCAAGAAATAGGAAAACACCCAGAAAAGGCTACAGAAGGACTGAAAATGTTGAGTAAAGAAAGACGGCACGGAAACGCTTTACTGTTACATGCAAAACTTTACAGTACCACATCAAATATCAAATAAAAGCACATACTGCCATCTGCGTTACAGACTGTAGACGGTTCCTCTGCAGTTCTGCTGGAATCTCAAAACGCAGCTGAAAGTAGACGAGGAGCTGTTTGCACAATAGTCTTATCTATCAAAATTGCTTCCTGTTATTGTGAATCCCCCCCCCACACAGCCTTTCAGACCCCACTGGAGTGACCTAATAACCCACAGCAACCCCCTCAGCGACCCCACCAAAACATTAACACAACAGAGCCTCAAATACCACACGAAGAGGCCATTCAAACACATCAATACACAATTAACACACTGATTAGCCTTTGCATCACAGCACAGAAAACAGAGCTTTACCTGTAATGAAGATTTATATCAACACTATCAGAATCAGGATGTTTTTATGTGACTCTGCTCACCAAAGCTGCATTTACTTCATAAAAAATACAATAATATTGTGAAATATTATTACAATTTCAAATAATCGTTTTCTATCATCATCATTCAGCATCATTACTCTTCAGTCTTCAGTGTCACATGATCCTTCAGAAATCATTCTAATATTCTGGTTTGCTGCTCGGGAAGCATTCTTATTATTATCAATGCTGAAAACAGTTGTGCGGCTTCATATTTTTGTAAAAACCTAAAGTTCATAACAACAGCATTTATTTGAAATATAAATATTTTGTACCACGATCCATACAAATGTCTTTACTGTCACTTTTGAAAATTGTAATGCATCTTTCCCAAAAAAATGTATTCATTTATATAAAAAAAGATCATACTGAGCCCCACCTTTTGAACAGTAGTGTAAGTTTGCATAAAAATGTATCCAGTTGTTGTCTAACATACAAACAACTGCACAATTCACACCATAAAAGACCATATACATAAATAAGTATTATATTTACTTCCTTAATAGACACATTAATGAAGAAAATGTCCTCATAAAAAAAATTTAAAAAAACATTACTATCTCTAAAAACAACCTTTTTCTAGTTATCATTTCTAACCACTTTTTCAATAAAATCAGTTTCCTAAAGGATAAATCCTGGCCCTACTTTTAAGATTCACTTATTAATACACCACATTACGAAAATAAAACAGATTGCGAACGATCTGTCCTTCTTCCTTGTGAATTAAAGCGAAAAATACTTATGATTTATGTTTGAATTACATAATCATTTCAAACTACATATGCTGCAACAATGATGCCATCCATTTTTCAAAACAGAAAATAAAGAGATTTTACATATGCATTATTCTACACATCAACATCAAGTGCTGTGCTTATCTTATGGAGGGTCATACCGGTTAATGGGCGTGTTTAAGAGTGTGTGACACTCTCGGATATAACCAACAAAGTTGTTATAGAGATGACAGTCCCACATGGCGACCGAACACAAGAGACTGAAGTGTTGCCAGGATGAGTCTCTCCGCGCAGCAGTAGTGTTTAAGTCACCATCAGTACTTGTAAATACTCTTGGAAAAACATGCATCTAAACATGATTCGGCTAGCCTCATTCTTTAATGTGAAAGGACTAGGAACAGGCCACAACACAGCCCAAATTTGACAACAAATAAATACACACACAGCTCGTAAGGGGTTTGTGGCATCTCTGTAGTAAAGCTCTGGCTGGTTTTGTCTGCTGACACACCCACACAGATCTGACAAAGGACCATCAGTGACGTCCCAGGACTCACATATTCGAGTTACAAGTCTGTTCTGATCGGGTCACAGACATCAGGGATAAAACAAAGCGAAATGAACATAATAAAATTCAAGCATTTACCCATGCATATAGTCATAATAGCAAAATGTACTGTTTAAACAGAGGAGAAAAAGCTCTTTTGTGATCTTTTGTTGTTGACGTCAAAGGTTGTGCATCCAAACAATCTTTACAGTACTACAAATTCACCTGTCACTAAGACTAATACTAATATTACATTTAGCAGAGTGTTTGTTTAGTGTGTTTGGCTGGTAAATCACTTCTGCTGTTGGTTATTACAAAATTGTCAATTTCCCTATTCATGTCTAGTATGTCATATTAATCATTTGCATACTGTTGGACCTGTGCATTTCATTTCATACATTTCAATGTTTAACTTAAGATTGTCAAATCTGGCTTCAGAGGCAAAACCAGTTGGAAAAACATCATGCAAATTAAATTAGACTGTGACTAATTTCTAAACCTTCTCAAATGTGACTACAGTAAATTATCGCACATCACAAGTGTGGACGGACAAAAACAGATTCTAATTCTTTAGTTTAGTAATTGTAATATAGAGGTATTTTGATAGAAACCATAATGGTGAATTGGTACTGCATGGTACTTCAAAGAATGCCATGGATAACAGCATGCTACTTTTTGAAAAATAATAATAAAACTAACTTCTCAGCCATTCACAGAGGTTCTTAAAGTGCATGCACAAGACTTTTGCAGTGTTGATCGAATGCTAGAAGATTCTGAAAAGTTTGATTCTGCCCCCTGGTTGCCATGACGATGAAAAGCGCGAAAGAACGCTTTCTTGTGGCGCGCTCTGCGCCAGACGGACCTGCTGGAACGGACCTAGCGCCTCGTGCATGTAGAGTTAAAATGATCTTAGGAAACGAAAACCACCGAGAAGCATTCGTCCGAATTAGGCGCTTAAGGAATAAACTAAAGAATATGAAGCATCTGCTCCAAAAACATTGAATAACTGATGCAAGTTGGATGTAACACTGACCCTCATAGTGCATGCAGAACTAACATTTTCTAGATTCTGTGCAATTATATGTGCATTTATATTAAACAAACAAATCACTGATATACAGAATAATAAAATGATCGGGAAAAACTCACTGTTTTTGAATCCAGCTCGTGTCTGTTTTGGGCCAAAACTTTATCCACACCGGTCTGGTCTACATAGGTGACAAATCCAAACCCCCTGCGCAAAAGTAGTGCATGCACAAACATTACGCGTAAGAATTAAGTTACAAACACACAAACAAACAAGTCAGCAGTAGATGTGCGCGCGCCTCCCCCTCACCTCGACCGCTTCGTAACCGGATCCCGCATCACCATACACTCCTTCACCTCGCCGAATTTACAAAAGTATTCATTCAGGCCTTCTGGAGAAAGAAAAGCACAATGCATTTATTTCATAACATCAGTTTAGTGACGCAAATCATGTTTGATGCACCTTAAACCAAACGTTTGCTGCTACTAGATCAGCATTGAGACTGCCCATCCACTTTGCATCTCAACAATAGTGCTCATTATATAGCTCTGGTAAGCATTCTTATTATAATGTTCTAAGCTAAGCTGAGTATTTGAATAACAACACAGGCATGCAACCAGAGATTTTCCACACATTTATTCAACAACATCAGTGCCTCCTCACTAGCGCCCTTGCTTTCACCTCAAATCACCACGAGCTCACTATATATATATATATCGTCTGTAGCTTTCGTGGAAGTATTGAAAGAGACGTTTAATGATAAAACATGCCAAGTATCGATCTATAAATATTCACCTATGTAAAGAAGATCTAACGCATTAGGCTCGCGCGTTGAATGCATGCATGATTTCACGGTGCACGAACTATTTGCTTTCTGTTTCAAACCAAACAAACATAGAAAGAAGAAATGCTCCTACGAGCTCATAGCAGCCCATGCATGAGACTTTTTGTGGAAGTAGCACGCAGGACAGAAGATCACGCGTGTCTCACCTTGTGTCGTCCGCCAGCCCACCCCGCCGATGAACATTTTGCTGAAAGGTGAAAAAGAAAGTCAGATCAGACACCTGAAAGTCTTCTGAAACGCTACCGATTACTGGTGCATGTGTAAATACAGTAATCAACACCCCAAAATCGTAATAAATCAAGTGGAAAAGTGAAATTCGGCCATGATGGATGGATGTGTGCCGTTATTTCCATTGAAAACGCAGAACTGATTCTTTCCTCTCCGTTAAAAAGTAACAAGTTCGATCATCCCCGTTTGAAAAAGCGAAATGGAATGTAATAATATAATGTGTTGGAAACAATATAACAGCGCGCGTCCTGGTAAGAGGGAACATGGAAACAATGTAACAGTGAGGCTCCTAGCTCTTACATTGTTTCCATTTTCGCTCTTTCGTAAAGGAACCCGCGCTTGTGTCTTTTGTCTCCGGTGGTCTCTTTCCTCTTGGTCCCAGAATACTCAGGTTTAAATGAACAGATTTATATATAGATCTCCCGTTCGCGAGGAAAAGTCAAGCCGAGCGCACAGAAAGGAAGCTTTACCAGGGGTCGTGCGGGGAGTCCTGCGTGGAGGACGACAGGCTGCTCTGACTCCCTTCTGTGTCCATTCCCGTGTCCCTCTGTTGCCCGGACTGTGAGCCGAACGGGAGCCAGGAGTCTCCGACTCAAGAGCGGGTGGCCCGAGGGGGTGGGGGAGGGAGGGAGGGCCCGTCTGGAGGAGGACGGGCCAAGCGTGGATTGCGCACACACGGAGGCACCGCCTCCCGTTTGACTTTTCCCGGACTCTCGTAGTTTGCTCCGCCCCCTCTTTCTCCCCGGCCCCGCCCGCTTTCATGTGCTGTTGTACAGTAGCGGAGTCGAGACGTGGTCAGACTGAAGAAAGAGACAGACAGACAGACAGACAGACAGAGAGAGAGACAGATAGACAGACAGATAGACAGACAGACAGACAGACAGACAGATAGACAGACAGACAGACAGACAGACAGATAGACAGACAGACAGACAGATAGATAGACAGATAGATAGATAGATAGATAGATAGATAGATAGAATAAAAAAGCAGATGACAAACAGATGGATGGATGGACGGACAGTCAGAAGAAAAAAAAACAGATGACTTTTTTAATAAAAAGTAAACACTATAGATTATAGACTGCTATATAAACAAAAAGAATATAAAATAAGACGTAGACAATGATACAGATGATATAGAGATAGAAAGACAGACAGATACATAGATTAAGACTGTTGTGTCTATTGTGTGTACCATCAACCAAACCAGCCCAGCGCTGTCTATAGCCAAGCAGCAGCCAATATCACACAGCATCAGGCTGAGTTTGGTGATTGGTAGTCTGGATTCCAGCCGGCCTGAATTGGCACACAAAGTCAAGACCAGGTGATTGGTGGTTTGCATGTGTGGGTGGGGCCAACAGACTGACCAAAACAATTTGTAGTCCTCAGGGAGGTGTGCATTGTTCCTCATAAACATCAGCATCTCACGTGGTATTGTTGTCATTTTAAGGTTTTGTTATTTTGTGATCTGTTAAAAATAAGTAAGTACTGACATTAAGAGGTCAGGCTGGAAAAATAGTTTAATAATTTGGAATATTAAAGCCTGTTTCAAAATATATTTACTGGCTCTGAGCACATTTACCTTGAAACATAATTTAAAAAAGGTAAACAATTTGTACCAAACTATGTGGTTCACAAAACATCTCATGCACAAATAAAATGTGGATTTTATGTTTCCTAATTTGTTTACTTCAATAAAGCACAAGAAAAAACAAGACATCTGAATGCAAAAAGCATGCATCTCTATGACATTTACATTTAATCATATTGTTATCCAAAGCAACTTGAGGAAAAGCAAAAGCAATTTATCATACAAAAGCCAACTATATCAGCAGTTAAGAGCACAAAAGCTAGAGCAGAAATGCACATGCAAAAGGAAACTAATACAACTTAGATATATGAAACGTGATATTCCAGAAGAAGACAAGAAAACAGATGCAAAGTGAAAATCTAAAATCAGATCCAAAATAAAACTCATGCACCATAAGTTTTGAGAGCAGTTCCTAGGCTGAACAGGTAGGAATGCCACAATTTGTAAAAAATTGCGTGCTTATGTATCACGGCTCAAGAGTTTGTCACTGCGGTTGCCCTGTGTGTGTGTGTGTGTGTGTGTGTGTGTGTGTGTGTGCGTGTGTGTGTGTGTGTGTGTGTGTGTGGAGAAGCAGTATGTAGGACAGCGCCCCAGCGCTCCCGACTGGAGCTATGGGCGTGCTAAATTTCTGCATGCATGATCAATGGCTTTGAATAAAGAGAAAGAGGGAGAGGGGAAGGGGAAGGAATTAGTTTGAAAGGGGGTTGAGAAGAGGATGAAAACAGAATGATGAGACTGCGCAGGAAAAGTACCTAAACAGCGGGTGACAATGAGGGATGTACATCTGTTTTCATATGCAACTTTTATTCTTTTGCATTGGCTGGCGGCTTAAACACCGTCCTTTGAAGTTGGTTTGGACATGACAAGACAGGAGTCAATGAAGCAGGTCCTGGAAAGGCACAAAAGAGATGAAGAAAGCAAAATAAGAAGTTACACCACAGATAAATAATATGGCATCTTTACAGGGGGCACTGGGGCTAGTTGTCACAGAGGCTATGAAATTTTGATTCAGAAGTTCAATTACACAAATTCTTGTTTTCTCCAGCAGTGCTTTTGTTTGTTGCTTTCAGACATCTAGTTCAAAACTGCCATAAATTAGAATTATATTTGTGAATTCTGTCTTCTGAAGTTACATTCCCATCACATTTTTGCTGTAGCTGTTGGGTAACAAGTAAACATAACAAAGCTACACTTCTTAACTGGATTTTAACTGTAGGCTGAAACGTGTTTCATATGAAAGATTGTTTCTGCCGCGGGATTAAGAAAAAAAAACTTTTATTTCACAATTCATACTTTTTTATATCACTGGCTTTTTTTCTCACAACATGTATTTTAAATTTTTTCCATTGTTTCATAAATGTCAGATTGGGGCATGTTGTCACAGATGTTGTAATTATATAGAATTTATCAAATACAATTTATGTTGGCTAAAACAACAAGTATTTTACCTTTCATATTAATATCTATAACATGATATATTACATTTTCTCAACCCAATGTGACAACTTACCCCATATAGTGTGACAACATGCAATGTGTGGTAAATGAAAAGAAACTGACTTTCAGAAATGAAACCCACCCTGAGACATATTTATTGGAGTCTCCACTATATGCTTTTTTTTTCCACAATAATGTTGATTGATTTAGCCATGCAGTCTAAAAGTTTAATATATCATAAAATAGTCCTATGAAACATGACGCCGAAATGTTTTGCTCTGTTTCTTCCCACTCTTTCTTTACCCGAACTTGCACAGTCACACAAACTAGTGTGATTTTCTTGGCCATTCATCAGTCCTGTGGCTCTTTTGACCCTGGGTCTCACATGCTATTGTTGCTCTTTAACCTCTGTCAACCCTGAGACCTGCTCCCCGACTCACTGATTCTGTTAAGCAGGAAAGGAGGCCTAACTTTTGGCCTCTTTGTCTTTTCCTCCTTTGTCTACTTTGAGATAAACTGCAAAAATGAATGAGAGAAAAGTCACCATTAGGGCTACAGACAGACATTTTTATTTATTTATTTATTATTATTTTTTTTTTAAGAAATCGCTTCTGTTCACCAAGGCTGCATTTATTTAATCAAAAATATAGTAAAACAGTAATATTGTGAAATATTATTACAATTTAAAATAATGATATTCTACTTGAACATATTTTAATAATTTATTTCTGTGATCAAAGCTGAATTTTCAGCATCATTACTCCAGTCTTCACTCTTCAGTGTCACATGATCCTTCAGAAATCATGCTGATTTGCTGCTCAAGAAACATTTATGATTATTATCAAGGTTAAAAGGTTTGTGTTTTGCTGCCTATTTTTATTTTTTCAAAATTCTTTGATGACTAGAAAGTATTTGTCTTTTAAAAAACAGCATTTATTTTAAAATATAATTATTTTGTAAATTTATAAATGTCTTTACTTTCACTTTTGATCAATTTAATGCATCCTTGATGAATACAGGTATGAATTTCTTTTTTTTTTAAAACTAACCTGAAATTATATATATACAAATAAATATATATATATATATAAATTTGAAATGATATATAAAAATGGTATAGAAATCCTTTTTACTAAGAATTTGCTAGTAAATTTCACAAAGAAATGGCAAGTAATACATTAAATTAAGTGTAAAATTTTGAAGACTGAAATAGTGTTTTCTTGGAAAATGTACTCCAATAATCTATGCTTTATTTACAACATTGAAAAATATTTTTTTACAAGCTATATTCAGTTCATATTGAGATCTCTGACCTGTAAATGCTTTATCAATATTGTAAATGTGTATAGTCATGCCAATAAACCTTAGCCTATTGACTCAGACAGCTGAACGCGTATCTGTTTGCGTGAGTGATTGCAGTAGGCATAGTTATACAGCACAAAAGGTCCAATTTAGATCTAGATTCCCTGTAAATCTTCTTACATTAAGTTGCCAAGGAGTGAACTTGGGCAGATTCTGATTGGATAAGAACATCCGATGAGCCAATAAGGAAGTCAGACTGTTTCCATTCAAGAAGTAAGCACCTGAACACGATGTACACAGTCATCACACCTTTACCTCCAATACTGAACGTACTGTCCATCCTCAGGGGAAGGCACAGCACCGCAGCCAAAAGGAAGAGAGGTAAACAGAGAGAGAGACGGAGCGCAAACGAGCGCATGAAGGCTAATTGTACTGTCATCAAGATCGCATGAAACTCCCATGTGACATCCCTCCTATCCGGATTACCTGAGTCAGAGATCCACAGGCTGCAAGAACAGCCCGATCACCAGCCGAATATCTCTCTTAATCCTTTTTCCATGCCCCCCTCCTTCCTTCAACATATCAGCACCATTCCTCGCCTCTATTTATAGGGTCACAGCGTTCCCTCTCTCTGTGGGGCGAAGGGGGGTTCGTTAGGAACGTCACCCTGCCTGGTTAGCGAATGGGTTAGTGAAGGATTTTGGTGGGGGGTCACGACGGAGGACATGGGAATCCCCTACTGACCAGGGCACATTTATTTTTACTTTTTATTTGTTTAACATCCGTCCGATCAGGTGAACTGGTTTGGTGTGTTCTTAAAGGGATAGTTCACCCAGAAAGGGAAGATCTGTCATTGTTTACTTACGAGTTGCAAACCTGTGTTACTTTCTTTCATCTGTGGAGCCAAAAAACAGATGCTAGGCAGAATGTACAAGCAGCTCTTTTCCATCAAATTGTAGCATAAGAGCCATCAAACTCCTAAAAGACTGAAAACGCACCATAAAAGTAACCTGTGTGAAATTTAAGTCATTATTCACTGAAACATGTTGCTCTAAATGATTAATAACAAATAGATTTAGTTTCTCACATGGTTTCAATTGAATGCATACTTGCAGAATTAAACTATAATTTTTTTTTTTTTTTTTAAACTTCTGATTCCAAACTTTTGAACAGGTAATGAGAAGTACAATTAATAAAATTTCCAAAAAAGTTCAAAATATAAATATCATGAATGTTATTAGATTTATGCTTAAAGCAAAATAAAAAAATGCCAATCCTATTTAGAACTAAAGGATGTTTAAATATTTTTTTTACTATAAATAAGACATAATATAAATACTATAAACTATAAATAAGAATACAAATATATAATGTATTATTTACAGTAAAAATATTTAAACATCCTTTAAAGAACATAAAATTTGTTGATGAAAATATTGATACTA